TAAAGCAACCCAGCCCTGGGCCGGTAGACTGCAGCACTAACATCAGCCACGAGAGGCCGCTCTTGCCACTCACTAGCGGGCTTCAGAAGCCTCCCCTGGAGGAAAGTCCAGCAGTGGTGTCCAGAGGAGAGCCTCGCACCAGCTTGCCTGGTTCTGTTCCTAGGCGATGGCACTCAGCTGCAGGATTAGTTGTTGATGGTATTTTGCTTGGAATCCAATGTTTTGATTCAGAGTCAACAGGAATCGGGCTGCTCCCTTTCACCGTGAGCATCCTTCTTGGAAGAGGAGGGGGCACCTGAGATGAGCTTTGAGGAACCCACGTGCGAATGTTCAAAACGAGCTCCTCACTCATCTTGGTCTGGCCGGTCCCTGGCCGACACTGAAAACCCCAGGACTAGAGTTTTTTCAGTCTCCTTTTGTTGAGAGTTTTAAGATTTTCATATTCAAAGCATTTTCATTCTTTTTAAATTGCCTTTTACAAAGAATAATTGTTCTAGATAAAACTATGTAACTAACAAAAATGAAAACATCTTGAATACCAAGAAGAGAACAGTGAAAACTCCTGCCAGGCTCCTCCTGCAGGCTCTGGACTCTCCAGAAGCAGAATCAGCACCACCAGGGCAGCCAGGGCATGAAGTGAGGTCCTGGGAAGAGCCAGCCAAGATCTGGCCTTTTAGGGGTTCTGGATTTTTCACTTGAATATTAGTTTACCTGGCAAGTGAATGGGGAATTTCCATGTTGGGAGGATTCTGCCTGAAGGGGATTATTTTCTTAACTTCAATAATGATGGGCTTGCTTTCTTCTTCCTTCTTCTCTTTCTTTTCCTGTATTTATCCTGTATACTCTCCATGTTTCTGGAGATGAAATATCTAGAGTGGATTGCATTCTTTGCATTTTCCTGATACTGTAAAATCTCTGAATGAGTCACCTGTTTCTCCCCTGAACTCAGCCATGGTTATGACATTTTGAGGACAGACCCCCAGAGTTCTGCCTTGTCTTTATGTCCTTTCGTCTCTTGTTGGTTCTCTTACTTGCTACCAAGGACATGAACACGACCTCTGCAGGTTACAGTCACCCAAGTTCTGTTCCTAGTTCCCTCTGAACACCAGGACACTGTGGAGGTGGCTGTGCAGGAGGATCTGACTTCCATTGGACCTTACGTTAATCAAAATTGTGCCTAATAATGAGTCTGATTTTTTCTCAGCATTCATATTAAAGTTGTTTTCTTCTTGTTGTCATTTTCTCTCCTGTCTAAGTGTGGATGAAAGGTCACCGATGGCTCCCACCCAGCACCCAAAACAGTGGGAAGAATGCAGAGAACAGTGCAGCTCTGGGCACTGATCTCAGGGATGTGTAATCAAATGGTTGGGTGAATTTTATGGAAGTGCCTGTAACTGGTAAAACGCTGAGTTAACAGCTTTCTGTGTGGCTTTTCAGTGGACTCATTGATTCATTGCTTAGCTGCACACACTTTTACTTTTAATTGTTTCTTTTTTTCCTATGTAGTTGTTATTTTTTTCAGGTTCACCAGCCTGGCTGGGAGAAGAAGGGCAAACCCAGCACAGAGTTTGTGGTTTAGGAAGGTGATTCATTCATAAAGCGATACTGTCTTGGTCAGCTTTTTTGCTGCTGTGACTAAAAGACATGGCAAGACCAATTAGAGGAGGAAAAGTTTATTTGGTGGCTCAAGGTTTCAGAGGTCTTGGTCCATAGACAGCTCACATCCAAACGATAACAGATTTAGTGATATGTGTCAGGAAGAGTGCCTCATACTGTAGGTGGGTAATTATTTCAGCAGATGCTTCAATTTGGACCTTTCAGTAATACCATTAAGAAAAAGAATCTAGATAAGTAACAGACTGTTCAATTTAGTGTCCAATGGGGCACCATAAAAGATAGAGTCTGTATTGTCTTTCTTCTTTTCCCCCAAACTCCATACCGACAGACTTTCTGGAGCATAAGCAGTCCATGTAAATAATAATCACTTCCGAAAAGTGAATTTGACCATGAAGAAACCCAAATTACTCGTTTTTCCTCTTCTTCTCTCCTCTTTTTGAACGACTCTGTCACCAACGTATTCAATGAGGCTGAGCAGAGAGGCATTCACACTGGGTAAGGAGTGGCCGAGGACCGTGGTGCCCGGTTCAGACACCTTCTGCAGGGTGCACAAGGTACCACAGAGTGGCAAGGGTGGGCCTTGGGGGAGACAGTGCTGTGTGACCTTCAGCACATTGTCACAGGCTGAGAAGGGTGTGGAGGCAGGCTTTCTGATTACAGGAGCCTAAGAAAGCTTAACTTTAACTAAATGCTACCCATGACACTGCACCGGATGCTTGTTCTGTAAAGGACATTATTGGGAACTGGTGGAACTTGAACAAGATTGGAGGATTAAAAGTTGGACTTGTATCCAAGATGAGAATCAAATTATGGTTAAGTGGGAACTGTCTTTGATTTGGAACTGCATGTTATTCAGGGGTGATGATATATACTCATATAGCTCTGTCTTCTCCATAAATTCAAGATTGTTTCAAAATTAAATGCTCACTTTAAAAAAAAATCATCCAAAATGCATTTAAAGTCATCATGGAACAATAGAATGACTCAAATAAGTAAACTTAAATTGACGCTTTTACCTAAAAGCATGTAGACTGAATATCAAGAGGATAAAGAAATTAGTTACTGAGAATTAATGGTACATTTACCCATGGATCAAATTAGCCTACATTTCTGAATGAGCAAATGCACTTGGCACTGGGATCGTTCCCCATTCTTTCCAGGAACATTTGGTGCCTGTGACTCCTATATCAGACTTCTTCAAAGTACTCTCTAGGACTGGGCTGTCTGAATGAGTCCCTTGGACTGCCTGGATAGTGTCTTCTGGAACACCCCCCCCCCACCCTTGGGATATGACTTTTCACTGAAAGGCTGATTGCTGCTTGGCCTGTTTTTATCTTTGTTGCCTGGTATTGGAGAAGCTGGATCATAATTATGGTTGTACTCATGCCAAATGTGCTCTCTCTGCATAAAGATATGACTTTTCCACTTGATGTATAAAGTATAGGACTGTCTTAAATAGCCTTTGTCAAGAATGCCATATAGCTGCTAAGTATGGTGCTAAGTATACTTTCAAAAGGAACTCATGAAATCCATTTCCCACTGACTCCCAACTTGAGTCTCACAAGTCCTATTTTCTAGTAAGTGAAGTGTATGTCTAGTCCGATTCAGATTTCATAGTGAATCTACTACTCTCATGATAAAGATGGAAAAATTACACAAAGTAGGGATAAAAGTGATATTTTTTGTGTTTGAGTTCATGAGCATTTTTTAAACAATTTGTTTTGTAATAGTTGCTTTTATTTTATTTGTTAATTTTTATGTGGTGCTGAGGATCAAACCCAGTGCCTCACTCATGCAAGGCAAATACTTTGCCACTGAGCTACAGCCCCAGCCAAACAAGTATCTTTGTTGTAATAAAACGGAGAGTGATTAAAGTCTAAAAACAAC